TTATCTCCACACCGAAACATTGTGCGTTTGCATTCTCTCTTCTCCCTACCGTCCCTAACTAGATGGCTAGTGAGGTTGGTATTACGAATTCGAGTAGCAAGAGGGTTATACATAGAGATTTGATTACACATTTTCTTGTCCATTTTTTTCCCTAGAATTCTTCACTCTTATTCTTTCTCTAGTCTCTCTATCTTCTATTAATCTTCTAATTCATTCCTAAAGTTGGTGAAAACGCTGCTCGGAGAAAGGGCTAAGGATAAGATTGAATCCCAGTATTGCAATGTAGAGGCAGAATTCAACGATGACACATGCCAAACTTACACTCTCCATCTCGTTTCTGGGGATTCGACATTATCAACATGAAATATGAAAACTTAAATTAATAAAAACCAGTTTTAGTTACAACCAGTTTAAAATGTAGACTTTCTAAATCAGTTGTGGAACCAGTTTAGAAAAGTCTTGGAAATTTTTGTCTTTCTAAATTGTCTATATCCAAACCAGTTTAAAAGGTCATTTTCACATGGTTTAAAAACATTTTTTGCACTAGTGATACTAAGAAAAAACATGTGAAGTTATTTGTATCAGCTGTCTATTCTATTAACAAACAAATATGTGAATTTCATTTGCTGTTGTTGTTTTTTATATTTGATTAGTTTGGTGGTTATGTTTGATTTGTTTGCAGCAACAGCAACATGAGTTCAATTGTTTATGTTCAAATGAATTGATAGTAACAGACTTGTAGGAATTCTAATTCATGTTGACTTGTGTTAAACGCATGAGAATATTTTTGTATATGTCTCTAAAATTTACTTTGTTTATATATCTAAACACACCTAGATGCATATATGAAGTTGTGATATATATTTTTTTATAAAAAGTGATATATTTTTATGTAAACTAAGTTGTTCAATATGAATTAAGTTATCAATATAGTATGAGCAATTGTCATTTTTAGTAAACAATTAATATTGCCACTGTCTTGGTACGAACTTTTTATTTGACATCAATGTAATTACATGCTTAGTCACTAATGCCAAGTGAATTTTTGTCATCTCTATTACGTGTATCAGTAACTTATAAAGTCCATAATTTGAGAGAAATGAACCTCAGATATGTGATTCCATCACATGCCAACAGAGAGTATTTGTCAATTTAGTAAGCATTATCGCCATTTCCAATAAACCCAGTCATCATTGTATAGTGCTAACTTGTTATTGACAGCATTTGGTAAGCACATGCAAAGTAATAACGCATACTTAATACCATTTGTTAATACCTTGAAACAAGCTGTCATTAGACGTTAGATTATTATCAATAATGATCATATATTCATTGATGATGTAAACTTGATTTTAGTTGTCAATACCTTGTAATGTATTTTTCATTAGTTGTTGGCTAGTTGTTAATAATATTGGGTTAAAGTATATTTTTTTGCCCAAACTTTTTTTAAGAGCACTTAGCACCCTATATTAAAAGGTGGAATAATATCTTCCCTAAACAAATTTTTTAGGAGCAAAATCTCTTTTACCAAAAACCCATCATCTTCTCCATTATCTACTAATGTGGAATAATTATAGAGCTCACATGCAGTGACATTAAAGCATTCTGTCCCATTTTGCTGCCATTTTGCTGCTAAAATCAAGCCCAGTTATGTTCCTTCCTCTGCCACTGCAATCCCAAATCCCTTGGCTCATATCATATGGTCAAAATGTCAAAATGCCTTGTTTTTACTGTTTGTGAGCCCTACAACTATTTCATGTTAATGATAATGGAGAAGATGATGGGTCTATGACAAAAGGGCAATTTTGCTTCTAAAAAGAATTATTTAAGGGGAATATTGCCCCACCTTTCAGTATAGAGTACCTAGCATTTCTTAAATAAAAGTTTAGGAGAAAAAATGATATTTGACCCAATAATATTACATGATCAGCGATAATATTAGTTGTGATTATTAACAATAATTGGTTAGTATATACAAAGTCATTAATCGTTGTCATTAACTTTATATCTTTTTAATGAAGTTTGCTTGTCAATAGATTATAACGAAGTTGCCATTAAACATTGGCTAGTTGTCAATTTCATTAAACTAAATTTCAAACTTGTTAATGACAATTTCTAAGTAAGCCCATGTCGTCACTGATGCAAAGTTATTTGATGTGCTCTTTCATTGAAGTTTGATTGCTAGTAGCCTATAAGAAAGTCATTTCCAATAAATTTGGTTGTAGGTTGCAAAAACAATGTTCTCAACATTTTGTACACAGATTGCATATACAAAAGGCCTATTGAATATTTTCGCTGTTTTCAGAAGTTTCCTACATTGTCCAAGTCATGTTAATAAAACATTTACACTTTACCAATAAAAGTTGGTATAGTTGATAAGAATTTGAGCCATATCTTATAAAGTTGTGGATTCAAATCCTATTACCAATGTGAGGATATCTTTATAAACACTTTTTAATCTTGTAGGCATTCAGTGACCTTAGTGAGTTTTCGATACTCATCTCACTCAAATTTTTATTTATTGAAAAAATAAGCATTTGCACTTTTAAGTGCATTTTATTCATGATAATTACAAGATTATACAGAAGCTGAATCCGCTCCCAATTCTAAACTCATCTCTTGTACTTTTAGGTATTGTCTCTTCTCTCTCTTCCGTTGCCTTCGGTTTTTATTTCTTCTTTTCCTTTGCTGTCAAATTTTCTTATGCTTGCATTGCTCTAGGATTGCCCTCTTTGATGGACTTGTACCCCTTTTTTTCCTACAAAATTCTTTTGTAACCAGTATTTTTAAAACCTAACCGGACTAAACCCAATCTGGATTTTGATTTAGTTCATATGAGAAAATCATTTTAAGGATTGAGCCAGGTTGGACCATTTTGAACTAGCGGTCAAACTAGAAACCGGAATCAAGCCGGAAACCGGATTCAATTTTCAAAAATTAGACTGTTATTTTTTATTTTTATCAAATTTTTTTTAAAAAATGACTAATTTTTTTAATCATTTGATATTATGTTGTATCATGTGATTTGTTAAGTCATGATAAACTTAAAATATTTGGTTTTTTTAAGTTAAGTAGCAATTTCATCTGTATTTTTTATATTTAGATTATTATTATATATATATATATATAATTTTTTTAATTTAATTATTACGTCATCAATTTGACCATTGGTCCAACCCGATTGAACCATACGAACTATGAACCACTGACTTTTTCGATTCAATATTCAGTCTGATTTTGAAAATATTGTTTGTAACTTTGCATACCAAAAAAATTTGGTTTTCTACATCCCTATATTTTTAATCATCGTTTTTCTTTCCATGCAAAAAAACATATACTTTCCCCATTTTCCAAAATTATCCAACGTACGCTTTTGATGAAAAATACTTTTGATTTTCTAAAATCTGGTAATTATTATGCTATACGGTATTTATCATTTATGATGGGGCACTTGTTAATGTGATATGAAAAACTAATCACTATTCACAAAACAAGCGTAAACACATGCATTAACCTGCACAGTATGTATACTTGTTAATTTTATAAATGCACTTGTTATTATCATACACCATACACAGTCATTTAGGTAGCATTTAGATTTAAAATCTTGTATTTCAAATCTTACATTTAAAATTCATGTATTTAAAATTTTTTATATGGGTAATTTGAAAAAAAAATCAAATAAAGAAAAGAGATGAACTAAGATTCAAAAGGAAAATAAAGAATTAGAAATGGTGAATTTATTTTCATTTTTTAATATATAAAAGATGAGAAAATATATATATATATATATATTATAGGGAAAAATACTTAGATAGACCAAGCACACCACATCATTTGTAACTTGTCCAATTAAAATACTTCAAATAATCTAAATAAAATGTTATTTGATATTTTTTAATTAATTTTATTCTTATAACAAAATACATATTTAATTTCTTGCCTTTTTTCTCTTTATTATTATTAATATCAAAATCAATTTATATTTAATACTATTTAAATATCATGTTTTTATTGAATAAATCACAAATGACATGATGCACCCAATCCTTTTAAAAATTTCTTCAAATTATAGATATATTAATAGTGAAAACATGAAGAAAAAAAGATACTTGAAATGATAAGAATTTCAAATCATAATGATGTAAAAGGAACTTGAAATTATAAAGAATTATAATATAATTTGAAATGAATTTAGATTTAAATTAAATTTAAATTTATAAAATTTTTTGTGTCCAATTGAAGGATTTGGTTCAAATCTAAATTTAAATTCAAGTCCACATTAATCCAAATACACTATAAAATAAATATAGTGACACAGTATCGGAATTAGGCTTCAAATCTTCAATAATAGGCAATGGAGGATGACATCCGCGTACATCAAAAAGAGGAGGATGGAAATCGAATGAGGAGTTTGTAGGCGCCCTAAAACTTGACTTGGAAGACGTCAAAAAACTTCAGCATTTACTTCCCTCACTGTTTGTTCGAACACTTCACATGTGGGAGATCATTATCCTCAACGCCAACATGACAGTCAAACATTGACTAGCATTTATTTCCATTCTCTACTATTGCATAGCAAACTAACTCCACAAGTAGCTTCAACTGAAAACTAGATGAGAGCAACTAGGATTAAACGGAGGGCTTTATGCAGTAGAGGGAACAAACAACTTGGCAAATGGAAGAAGAAAACGCAGAAGAGAAGCAATAGTGTGGCTCCAAATGTTCACTCTAAACTAACCACCGGTGAAATTTTGATTAAGGGAAGTGGGATTAACGGAAGAAAATGCTAAAGTTTTCTAAACTAAAACATGTTTGAATTTTAACTTATGCAGGGACTATACATCTTGAAATAATAAAGGGGACTATACATCACAATCTTCTTCGACGTCATTGACATAACTCATGCACTTCAAGGCAAAGTAGAATCGTTAAAGCAATATATGTGATGTCAACCAGGTTGTTGCTCCGACATAACTAAACTGAAAACAAGAATGAGATGAAACACAGGAATGACAATTTCATTATTCTTGATCACCATAATGTTGACATGGAAGTTTGGGATATTACATCCACTGAAGGAAAGAGGGGAAAGCAAATGCTAACTTGTGAACAATCTCATTTCTTGTAACGTGATACTTCACCATCATTGGGAAAGAAACCCATGAGCCGACCAGCAGAGTTCTGGTATGCGTACATGAAACCACCCATGAGCCCTATCAGACCCCCAGTCACCATAGATGGACCCTTGATTCCAGGCTTAATCCCTAAACAAAAACAGGCAAACAGCTTAGACCATATACATACCATTTTAATATCAAATCATTCAGAATCTAATCTCAAGTGGTTTTAGAACATAAGAATTCAAGTTCATATCATAAGCATTTCAGATGTCCTGAGAGAATTTATCAGCCAGGACAAAAATACCCAAGTGTATTCACAGGCAATCAGGAGCTTTGACTTGAAGCGACATATTGCCATGGATTTGATTTCTGACAAAATTTATTGTCAACAGAACTAGGTTGGACCAAAATCTCAGTTCAGTTGCGCTAAATTAATTAAATTTCAGTAATAGCTTTCTTAAATAAAATAGATATGCCACTCGAATGATCAAATAAGTCAATGCACTATGCAGAACAATATGATAAGAAATTGGAACGAACAATGTAAAAGTAATCTGAACAAGTCCGTAACTAATGGGCCAAGCTAGTAACTAACTTATGGTTGTGTAGTGCGATGTCTGAGCGTGAGAGAGAGAGAGAGAGAGAGAGAGAGAGAGAGGTATTAGGGAACATATTGTACGTGATGGGGATTGGGTCAATGAGAGGTAAGGAGTACGTGAGCATCTGTGCAAACATCCTGGAACTCTCAAATTAATAGGAGTGTTGCGTGCTTTTGCTTGTTTCTTATTTTCTTCCAGCATGGTAGCTAGCTAGTTCAGCCACCCCCACCTAGTAAAATAAGACTTGCTGTTGTTATTGTTGAAGATGTATGATAGCTAGTTCAACTTAGACTTGCACTCTAGCTGGAACCTTACATGTGTGAATAATACATTTGAGGAGTTAGGTACCAACAACCTCTTGCTTGTGACAGAAAGATGCAAAACCATCATCAACGAGCACAATCAAAAAAGGAATACTAAAATTAAATTTATTAACTAAACTTTCATCATTCATGGTCACCATAATGTTAAAAGTTTTAGACATTACGCCCGCTAAAGGAATGAAAGGGACAAAGAAGTACTGAACTCTACAAAATTCTCGTTTCTTGTATCCAGATAATTTTCATCATTGGGAAGAAACCCATGAGCTTACCAGCGGAGTTCTGGCGAAGCATCCATGAGCCCAATCAGAGCCAAGTAACCAAAGGAAGTCCTGTAACTCCAGGCTTAATCCCTTCAAAATAAGGGGCTTGCAGTTTTTAACTATACGTATACTATTTTATCACCAAATCAATGCAGATCCTCCACCAATTTTAGAATATAGGAATTCAAGGTCGAATACAAAGTATCAATGAAATCAATAGTTGTTCATAGGAGTACACGGAACCAAACCAACCATGCTATTCTCAATTAAATGTTGAAAGCTCTAAAGACAGCACACAAACGGCAACAGGGAAGTAAGGCACATATTGACATAGTACCAATATCCAAATTCATCTAAATTAATGATTTTCATGTACCCACTATATGTGCAGCATACGCTTTTGTCTTTATTGAAAACACAGGAGATCAAGAAGGGAAAGAAAAACTCAACATCAGTGACGTGATTGAATTGTCGTTGTGAACTCCTTATAAAATATTTTTATCATGACTATCCCTTATTTATGGATTAAGTCCAATAAGTCAAATCATCAACCCATACACAACAAGCAGTGGCAGTGTAACATACATTTATCACTATGGGTGATCCTAATAAACTATATAAAATTCTGGCCAAAAAAAATAATAAACTATATAAAAAGTGTAAAAGATGCCCACACCATGAGTTAACCACGTCAACTGATAAGTGATAACTACATTGTTTTGCCATAAAATTGATGACTAGATGTCTTCTTACAATTTTAGCATAAAGGTGAATTAAATTAATTCCAAGGACCAAGTATAATTTCCCTATTCATCATAGTCCTCCACCAGTTATTGCACATCCCTTTGCCAAATTGTGACATTAATCTGATTTTTTTTCTTTTACCAGAGATGTAATTACTCATAATTGTCACTATGAGAGCCAGGAGGAAATTTTCTCATGAAACTTTAACTACAAATAGTATTGTATGAATTAGGGAAAAACCATAACAATCAATAAAATTGCCACCAACTTTTTGACTTGCATAGAATATGTTCATATACTTGGTTGTTGTAACTTGCAGGTCTGTCTTAAATGGAGCGCAAAAATGGAAGCAGGCAAGTGTAAATCAAAGCACTAGCCTTGGAAAAAGGTCTTTGCTTATGTCTGATGGGCACTCTGGACAGCAAGAAGCCTCAGGGTATTTAAAGGTCAAATTCCTAATCCTATACAAATCAATTATCAAGCATGCATCGATTACTAGAAGATGACACAGTCAGGAGAGACAACCACTTAATCTACCAGTGCACTGATCATGAAGCAGCAAAATGGACCCCCACCCCCAACACCCGCATTTCATGTGGATGTTGATGGTTCAGTTAATAATCAAATGTTGGCTGCTTGTGGAGGTATCATAAGAAATGCTCAAAGCAATTGGGTTACAGGTCTCGCACAAAGTCTTGGCCACACAAGTGTAACTGAAGCGGAGATTTTAGCTATCAAGACAGGGTTGCAGGTCAGTAAACATGGTTACAAGAAAATACAGCTCTTTCTAGACTCTCTGGAAGCAATCAACCTCATTTATAGTGGAGACATAACTCACCACATAGCAATGGAAGATATTTAAATAATCAGATCTCCTAATGGAAGAATGGGATGCTGAAATATCTTAGACGCATAGAGAAGCTTTTAAGTGTGCAGCCTTTATGTCTAAGTTGTGCTATACTGATCACCCCGCTCCTTTTATTTTTAGTCATCCTCCAGATAGGATTGAGCACATTTTGTTGCTGGAAGAAGGTCCTAGGGACTGAGCCTGCGAAACTATTTTTATTTTCAAGCTAGTTTTTTACCTTTTGTATTCTGAAAAAAAAAAAGGAATACTCCTATGTTCATATACTCAGAAGCACGGACACGGCAAAATGGCCGGCGTGTCCGTGTCGGATACGTTCAGTACGCGGGAACGGCACGTCCCTTTTCCCAATTTCTGGCGGACGCGGGTCAAGACGGGTTGACACGGGTCGGACAAAGGTCGGACGCGGGCAGACGCGAAACTCTGCATTTTTCACTTCCTTTTACTCAATCCCAGCTCCAGAAATCCGTTGCCCTATCTTTTCAGCTCCAATCGACCGCTGTTTTCTGCTGTAGCTTCACGGTTCACTCTGCGTCGCTGCCTCACCCGCTCACCGTCTGCTCTGCCTCAGTCTTCGTATTCGACCGTCTGCTCTGGCTCAACGTCTTTGACCGTCTGCTCTGCCTCACCGTCGTTCTTCAGCTTCATTGGTAATTTATTCAGTTCATGTGGTCGGTCGACGGTCGTTTTTCAGCTTCATTTTCAGTTCCTCTTGTGCTGCTGAGTGCTGATGGATATTTTATTATTATTATTATTGCATTGCATTACTGATTGAATTACTGATTTGAACGAGAGAGCTGATTGAATTACTGCTGAACCGAGAGAGCTGTCCAGAGCCTTGAATTACTGATTTAATTTTTTTTATTTAGATGAATTATTTTGTTGAGTTAAACATTGATTTATTTTAGATTTTTATTAGCTCTCTTCTTGTTAAAATTGCAGGATATTATTTAAAATTAAACCTGCAATGGCTTCTAATTCTAGACTCGGTAGTAGTTCAGGAAGTGTGAATTCTCAATTTCAATCTAGTAATGAAAGACAAAAAGAGAGTACTCCTTTATGGGCTTATGTAACTTTGGTTCCTCAAGAAAATGAAGGGGATGGTGGAAATAGAAGTTGGAAGTATAACTATTGTAATAACCAATATAATGGCTCTTATTCTAGAGTTAAATTTCATTTGTTGAGGATCTCTGGAAAGGGTATTGCTATATGCCCGAAAGTTGATGATAGTTGTTTAGGTGAAATGCGAAAAGCTCAAGAGGAGGCTGAGAATAGAACAAAACCAAGACATGTGCCATTGCCAACTCCAACTGAGAGCTTGTCTCCTTTATGTCAAAGGGGTTCTACCCCTATTCAAAGTGAACACAATCAGGGAAAAAGGAGGGCAATAAATACAATAGAAAGAGCTTTCCAACAAGGAGCTAGAGATAATTTAACTGCTGAAATTGCTAGAATGTTCTATTCGGCTGGCTTGTCTTTCAATTTGGCACGTAACCCATATTTTATTAGTGCATTTCAATATGCTGCCAACAATATAATTCCTGGTTTTAAACCTCCTGGTTATAATGCACTAAAGTCTACTTTGTTGCAAAAAGAAAGGGCCAATGTTGAAAAGCAACTTGAATCAATCAAAGGGACTTGGAATCATAAGGGGGTAAGTATAGTTACGAATAGTTGGACAGATGTACAAAGAAGGCCATTAATTAATTTTATGGCTGTCAGTGATGGAAGCCCCATGTTTTTAAAGGCAATTGATGCAACTAGTGAGTATAAAGACAGATTTTACATGGCTGACTTGATAAAGAAAGTGGTTGAAGAAGTGGGGCCTCATAAAGTTGTTCAAGTAATTACTGATAATGCACCTGTTTGTAAATCTGCTGGTAAGATGGTGGAAGATGAATATCCTCACATCTTTTGGACACCATGTGTGGTGCATACACTTAATCTTGCCTTGAAGAATATATGTGCAGCAAAAAATACAGAGGCAAATGAAATTGTTTATGGAGAATGTCGTTGGATCACTGAGGTGAGGGATGATGCAGTCTTTATCCGAACATTTATCATGAATCATTCTATGAGATTGGCCATGTTTAATGAATTCGTGCCATTAAAATTGCTTGCAATAGCCGAAACAAGATTTGCATCAACAATTGTAATGTTGAAGAGATTCAGACTTATCAAAACTTCTCTTCATACACTGGTTATTAGTGAAGAATGAAATGCTTATAGAGATGATGATGTTGGAAAGGCTGCTACTGTGAAGGACATAATTCTTAATGATCTTTGGTGGGAGAAGGTTGATTATATTCTCTCTTTCACTAAGCCAATTTATGATATGTTGAGATTTGATGACATAGATAGACCCACACTTCATTTGATTTATGAGATGTGGGATTCAATGATAGAGCAAATCAAGGAATCAATTTATAAGCATGAAAGAAAATCACTTTTTGAGTACTCTTCATTTTATAAAGTTGTTTATAACATCATCATTGATCGATGGACAAAAAGTGCCACTCCACTACATTGTCTTGCCCACTCACTGAATCCTAGGTGTGTTATTCTTATTTTTTATCATGAAATTCTTTTCTTTATCATTTTTGCATCACAACTCCAATTAATATTATTATATTATTGTAGGTATTATACAACACAATGGCTTGAAGGTGGACTAAATAGAGTCTCTCCACATAGAGATGCTGAAATATCAACTGAGAGGAAAAAGTGCATTAGAAGGATGTTTCCAGATGAGGAAGAGAGGAAATTGGTTATGAATAAATTTTCAAAATTTTCTAGATGTTCAGATGAGTTCTCTTTTGTTGAATCCATACAAGATAGATGTATATTAGAGCCTAAGGTTTGGTAGAGCAATCATGGTGCTGATGCTCCTAAACTTCAAGGGATTGCATTGAAACTTCTCAATCAACCATGCTCATCATCTTGTTGTGAAAGAAATTGGAGCACTTACTCTTTTGTTCATTCACTAAAAAGAAACAGGATGCTTCCAAAAAGAGCAGAGAACTTAGTTTTTGTTTATTCAAATCTTCGTCTTCTTTCAAGAAAGAGTGAGAAGTATTCCACTAGAGAAAGTAGATTGTGGGATATTAGTGGAGATTGTTGGGAAATAGATGATGTTGAAAATCTTGAAGTTGCAAGTTTATCTCTAGATGAGACAATTTTGGAGAGAGAACTTATAGAAGAAAGTGGTGATGTCAATGAAGATGAAGAAGTTTAGAATTACTTTAAGTTAATAATTATCTTTTGCCACTTGATAGTGTTTAAGTGCTTGACTATTTATTATATTATATTTTGTGATGACATTAGACATCTTGAAATTGTGTTTTTAGACATTCAAATATTTAATATTTAATTATTTATATAACCGTACCCGTATCCTAAAATTTTGAAAAATAGCCGTGTCCACGTATCATATCGTATCGTACCCAACACTCATACCCCGTATCGGTGCTTCCTTGTTCATATAGTTTATAGTAATATTATTATATGATATTTGTCAAGTTAATACAAGAAAGGGAATATCCTCTCGAAAAATATATAAGAAAATGTCGTATTCAACACTAATAGAGTTTAACCAAAAAGCAGGGAGAAGAGTAAATTAGTCCATAACTAGTCATGAAGATTTCGATTTCTGGATAAGCACCACATGAATTCCAAGTACAATCCTTTCCTGCTTGATTGGCAATGCAGACCACACTCAAGTTTCAGATTAGACCCCTAATCCTGTAAATTTTAAGGAAGAAATCTGCCACTTTCCAAAAGTCCTACCACAGGGGATTGGATGGACGAAAATGGGCAGAAAGATGTGAGATTCGATTATCAATACTTCCCGATAGACAAACTAGAGAATAAAAATCCGAAAACACACGAAAAAAACCTTCAACTTGACAGAACCATTAATTCAAACAAAAGCCCAGAAGTACAATTAAATTGAAAGGAACCAGACACTTCGAAAATGGGGTTTAGGAATCTAGCAGAGTAATTACCAACCACCTTCTTATATATCAACTTCAAACATGAAATGAAAATGCACAGAGAAAGAGATAGAGAAATACCAGAGAGGTACCCAACGGTGACAGAAACACCGGCAATGGTGACGAAGCGAAGGTAGTCGAGAGTGTTAAAATTACCAACGACTTTGGTAAAAGGAGGGTTCCGATCTACCACCGGGTACTCTGGCTTCGTCGATGCTGTAATATCTGTGTTCATCTCTCTCGCTCTTCTTCTATCTCTACCGGCCGGCTGGTGCTGCTTCTCTAGTTCACTGTATTTGCTTCCCAGAAAAACGATGGAGATTAATCTTTGTCGGTAACTTTTGGGCCTCCATTTACCATATTGGTTCGGCCTTTTGGTCCAATGGGCTGAACAATTTGACAGGCCCAATTTCAGAAAGATTTTCTTGAACCTGGATCCTGTTTGACAACTTTCTCTTTCTAGAAAGAATGTGTTGCGAAAATAGGATTGAGATTATCATTACTAAATATGTTATTATGTTTATTTGTACATAAAATATTTTTCAGTCATAAAAATTGTTAGATATATAGCATGAATAGGTTATCAATTGTTAAAATATTATATAAGTAATATAGGTGTTGAGTGATGGCTAGGTGAGGTGTTAGGTAAAGTGTTAGATGATAGTTAGATGTTTTTAACTCATATATATATTTACTATTAGTAAGGCAATGATAAAAGATTCATTTTTCTTCCAATATTTTTATATAGTATCAAAGTTGTTGTTGCAATTTCCCTCGAAATGTAGAGACCCATAGAATTAATGCACCTTGCAACTTGATTGCATTTCGCTCCTTTCATGTTCTCTACACTTTTATTAGCTAACTTTTGAGTATCATGAAATGCATATATATTGCTGTAGGCAATGTCAAAAGCTTTCTTAATGGATTCATCAAGCACTAGAATAGATCAAGAAGTTCTAAGACATTTTTAATCTATCTCTGCTCTGTCAAATTTTGATGTATGCTCTTTAACTGCGGCATCACCTCGTTTATGAACATCATCAACAATTGGATTTACCACACTAAAAATGGAAGAGAAATCTATGCTAGGGTGAGCCTTAAGGCTCTCAATCTTAGCCTGCATAAGTTCTTGCAACTTATATGACTTCACTAATCACTAGTCAGACTTACATTTCTCTTTCAAGTTTGGTTCAACAAGTTCAGTATTACTTTTTAGGAATTTGGAATAATTAGAAGTGATGCAAATCACTCTATGTTCTATTGCCATTCACCACCTAGTCAGTGCTTGTTTTTTGTGATCTGTATTGATGACATTATTATTACAGGCAATGATCTAGACGGAATTACTAAGCTTAAACAACACTAAATGATTATCCTTTCAAACAAAGGATTTGGGTAAGCTCAAGTATTTCTTGATTATTGAGGTTGCTCAATCTATAGCTAGAATTGCAATATCACAGTGAAAATATGCTCTTGACATCTTGAAGGAAGCAGGGATGATGGATTGTAGACCTATCGACACTCCCATGGATTCAAATGCAAAATACTACTAGAATAGGGGGAGCCTCTTTCAAATCCATAGAAATACTAAAGAGTAGTCAGAAAGCTCAATTATCCCTCTATTATTACTCATCCTGATATTTCTTTTGCAATAAGTGTGGTGAGTCAATTTCTAAAATTTTCTAATGCTAGTTACTAAGAAGCGGCAATTCACACCAAACTTTCATGAATTTTGATCAAATGACAAAAAAAAAAATTGAGTTAAGATTTGTAATAATAGGAGTTTAAAAAAATTTTAAATTACAAAAAAATTAAGATAGAACTTGAATTCGGCACACATTTTTAATTATTCAAATAATGAATTTGACTCAAATCTAAATTTATATTCATATATATTTATATATCCAAACAGAGCATAAGAGGAAACTAGAATGTAAAAGCTTAGCAAATGCGTAGCTCCCTTGAATTCAAGCTTCTTCCATCCTTCTCCTAGGAATCAAGAGCTTTTTCGCCACGGAAATCCATCTCCAAAGCACCACCAAACAGCGTCAAAAGCACATCCATGGCAGCAAGTAAGGGTAGAGGATATCAGACAAGCTAAAGGAGAAAGAATGGATGAACAAATGTGGAGGTTTTGTGGGGGAAGGAGGAGAGAAGAGAATGATCGGTTTTGATTTTGATTTGATGAGACAAATTGCAGAAAATGGGAGGGAGAGATGAGATAGACGAAGCTGGACTTGAGAGGAGAAGATGAGGTCCGAGAGAATGGGAAAGATACGGAGAGACCGAGGAAGTTGATGAATGAATCTGAGTGATTGTGCCTGTCCAGTGTTTATTCGGTGGAAAAAATCAAATTGTGTGCATAAGTGAATGAATGAATTCGCTCCCCTCCTTCTGAACGTTAGTGTGTGTTCAATTTTATTCAATAGAATCAATGAAAAATTGATGGCAATGGGTGCACGTGACTTGGTTAAATCAAGAAACATGAGTTGTTTGTTTGTTTTTTTTCAAATAGAGAAATTTATGGAAAATGGTTGAAAATAAATGGGGAAAAAATTAGGAAAAACCAACTAAGGAAGGAGAATAAGATAAGAAAATGGGAGAAAGGAAATTTTTCAATTTATTCTCTTGCTTCTTTTCTTCTCCAATTAGCCATCTACAAATAAAGTAATAAAATTAATAGAAAATGAATTTTAGAAAATTAAAAATAATATTTCATAGAATCTGAAAAAATATGCAATAAATTTCAAAAATTCCTTAATTTTTTTTGGCCCTTTTACCATAAATATTACCCACTTATTTCAAATTATATTCAAAAAAATGCTAAAAAACTAAGATAAGGAGGTGAAAATGTGTAAAATATATGAATTATTAGATAGTTACTCATTGTAGAATTGTATCTGATAACCCAATTCTCATTGCTATTTCTAATAACTCCTCTACATTGAGATATGCCCTTCTTGAAGGAGCCATCCACATCTAACTGCACCTCATTAACCTGGGACTTGAACCCATCTTGTCATATTAACATTGGCATTCCTACCCAATCCTTGTAATTTACCACTTATTTTAAGGTCTTGAGACACAAAATAAGGTGCTTGCTATACAAAACATTTTCTCTTGTTCAAATTTAGAGAAAGCTAAAAAGCAGTGATAACACCAAATCTCCCAGCACCTATATCTAAACAACACATCCTATGGAATAGTTTTAACAAGAGAATTACCAACATTGTTTTTCATATTCCATAAGATCCAATTCTCACCCATAAGGCCTTCTAAACATATCCTAAAGCTATAGATTAACTATTGTTTTCTACATAGCCTTCACATAAGGGCAATCATGCAAGATGTGCATGCTATCCTTCTTCTCATTACAATCAAGCAAGCAAGTATTTGACTCTTAAAAACCCTGGCTAGCTCTCATTGCTGCTATATGTAGTTTTCCTTTTGCAATTAGCCATAGGTGTATTTTGATAATAGAGTGCAAGTTAAATGACTAATGATATGGTTAGGCAACCAAGCTCTCATTTTGGTAATATCCCACCCTCCCTCATTATTAACAAAGTCAACCACTTTGCTATTAGCATCAAAGTCATTTGATAAAGCAATATGAGCTAGAGGTACATCACGAAAAAAAAAACCCATAGGTCCATCTACAAATTAGTGGTTCAACCATTTCCAATCCATTTCCCTAATCCCTGCACAAATTGCTCCTAGCAATTAACAATGCTTCTCTAAGTTAATGAGGCACTTGTTTTCTTATCAACCTTAGGTATGATTGTATTCCCACACTTACATTTGGGCTTCAACATTTGCAACCATAAGGATTTAGAATTAATAAGAAGTTTCTAGCATAGCTTAAAAACCAAAGCTTTATTTTGTATTACTAAGTCTTATTTAGGATCACATCCCTCTATCCTACAAGATAGGCTTTTCTACTATCCTGATTATCTCCCTAAAGAAAGCCCTAGCATTCCTTTTCTATCTCAACAATAAGTCTCTTCAATAGGATCATTGCCTGAATATAGTAGCTGGGCATCACAGTAATTACAAATTTGATTAGAGCTAACCTTCTTGCTATTATAAGAAAATTTCTTTTCTAGCCTGACATTTGATTCTTAGCTTTATCAAGAATAGGAGCAAACAAATTGTAAGAAGCTCTCTAATGAATGAGAGGGATTCCTATGTATTTCCCCAAGTCACCCATTAGCTACATTTGGAGTTTTCCACTAAGATTCAAGGCTCTGTTGATATGAACATTTTTGAAACAGCACAAATATGTCTTATTTCTATTCATCTTCTACCCTTAATAATAGCAAAACTTTTGCAAACACTCATCAATCACTTCAATTTGTTGCTTAGATGCCTTCCCAAATAGTACAAGATCATTAGCAAAAAAGATATGCATTATATCAAGTCCCTCCTTCATAAGTCTAATAGGCTGCCATCTTTTTCCATAAATTTCATCCAGAATCATATGATTAAGTTTCTCCATATAGAGGGTAAAAAGGTAAGGAGACATGGAATCCCCTTGCTTGAGACCACCAGAAGGGTAGAAAACATTATATGGTTCTCCATTCCAAAGGGCTCTAAAATTGGCTGTGCTAATGCAATTCATGATCAATTTGTACAAAATGTCCTTGAAGTTCTAATCTAATCTGTCATATGCTTTCTCTAGGTTCAACTTTCAATGCTAAGTATCCTTTCTTCTTCTTCTTCATGCTCTTCATAGAGTGGATAACTTCCTAAGTCACAACGATATTGTCACTACTTTATCCTCCAAGTATAAAATTGCTCTAATGCCGTTCGATTGATTTGGTTTGATTCATGTTTTGACCAAAACCTAATCAAACCATATCTTTATCACCCTTACAAAAAAAAATTAAAGAAATATAGGGCTTCTTTGAAGCTCATTTTGTCATTTGTTTTATTGTTATAAGAACAAGTATTTTATATAATATGTTCTGAGAACACAAAAATAAAAATAAAAACAAGTGTTTTTCATATTCTCTCTTACAATAAACTCATAACACCTAAAAAATGTTTCTATTTTTATTTTTTAAATAATATTTGACTTTTTAATTTTTTTAATGTTATCAAATAATTTTTTATTTTAAAAAATAAAAAACTGCTTTTAGAATATGTTGCCAAACAAGGTCATATATCTTATCCCAATCACACTCTTACTCGTACGGTATGGCTATAACATGTACACCCTTCTCGCTTGGGAACGGTTTCCCTACTCATTTCTTGGATGAACACGTGTGCTCATCCAAAATATGAGATCTGGATTGTTCAGATTTAAAATATTATTTACATTAATTTATTAAAATAAAAAATTATAAACATTATAAAATAATTCTAATAAATTTTTTATTTGATCTAGATTTAATTTAGAGGGTTTAATTTAATATTAAAATTTTTATAATTGATATATATTAATTATTCATATGAATTTTACATAGTCCAGCAGTTCAGATATAATATCTGGACTGTACAGAGTATATATGAAAAATTTAAAATATTCAATTATAAAAATTTTAATATTAAATTAGATCTTATAAATTAAATCTAGATAAGATTAAAAATAAAAAATTTACTAAAATTATTTTATAATTTTTATAATTTTTTTATTTTAATAAATTAATATAAAATAATATTTTAAATTTAGACCGTCTAGATTAAAGTTTGGACGATCTAGATCTCATCTCTTGGATGAGCACCGTGCTCATCTAAGAGATGAGCAGGCCCTTTCCCGCTCATGCCTTTTCGGGTGCGAGTGACGTCGGGCAAAAGCGACTTCATGCCTGTTTGAATTTTAGTTGGGTATGATAGATTATAAAAATAATTGATTAAATAATAGATTTTAATCATAATTGATTATGTTATAACACAATCTGTTTGGATACTATTTTTTAAAATTGATTTTAATAAAATTAAAAATGTTTGGATAATTTAATCAAAATTAATTTTAAAAATATAAATTAATATATAATCTAATTCTTAAATACCAAACATCAATTTTTTAAAAATATAAAGTTTAAATTTTATTAAAAAAAGAGAAGAGAAAAGAGTTTGATTTTATTTTTATTAAATTATGTGCTTTACTTGTAATTTTTTTGCGGGCCTTTTTTTGTAATTTTTTCTAACGCTTTTTTGATAAACTTTTCCGCGAAAGCTTGGATTGGCAGCTTCGGAAAAAAATCGATTTTCACCCCACAAATCGATTAACCAAAAAACCTGGTGTTTGGGTAATTGAAGCCAAAATCGATTTTTTTCCTCAAAAAATCGATTAATATGGCTATCCAAACACACAAGAAGATCCCAGCTCTCGATGGCGTTGGATAGCCGCGTAGAGAAAATCCTATGGAATGAGGACCAAATCTACCGCCGAGTCTCCGAGCTCGCCGCCGAAATCACCGACGAGTTCCGTTCCTCTTCTCCACCGCCCGTTTTTGTCGGCGTGGCCATCGGCGCCTTCTTGTTTTTCGCCGACCTTGTTCGTAAAATCGACCTTCCCATTTCCCTTGATTTCGTTCGAGCTCAGTCCTACGGTTCTGGAACCTGCTCCAATGAAGCACCTGTCATTTCCTCTGATTTGAAGGTTGACGTCCAAGGCCGCCATGTAGTTCTGGTATTTTTGCTCTCTTACCGTTTAGTTAATAAAAGTGTTTTTTACACCGAAGAATATGTTGACCTGATTAAAAAAAAAAAAACGCTCGTGCTGTTTGTAAATACTAAATAGTAAACTATAGATAAGATTCTTAACAGTCCGCTTGTACGTTGCTTCGGTAAATTAGTATTGTTTCAGAATTACAAGTTTATGTTCCGAGCGTCCTATGATTTACTTATTTTCCCAGCATGGACCGTCATTTGCTATTGAAATTGAACGGGACAAAATTCACAGAAAGTAACCCAGTACTTACTTTTGTGGTAGCGAAACATACTGAGGATAGTTAGCGTCATTTGGCTAGTTAATTCAAAATAACAGCTGGAATATTACTAGGTTCTTTATCTGAAGAATAAGTAAGAAAATCATCGTTATAACGTCTACATAATTAAAAGGCTAAGCTTTCCTGTGTCTGTTGCTGCATCTTGGTAGATACAGAAAACGGTTTATTTTGTTTCGTCTTACGATTAAGTTGTTCCCATCTGTAGTTGTAACATCACTCTTATCCGAAAAGGAGTAATATCAAAATTACTGAAATCATAAAATTTGTAAGCTATAGAATAATTCTAATCCTTGACCCAATATATATATGTATATATAATTATTGTGTTATCTAATAATTATCTCTATGCAGCCAAGTGATATTGGATAAGACTACCACTGGTTTTATTCTTCGGAATCATGTAAAGCCATGTGGCTAGATTGAGACCAATTTTTTGCATAAGAAAATAGTTGTTTTCCTTTTCTGCAGCAATTATACTTTTAGTTTGTTCATTAATTTAATCCCACTATTCCCTTCTCCTTACGTTTTCAATTCCATTTTCTTATGAAATTGGTACTGTTAATTAGGTTGAGGACATTGTAGATACGGGGCATACTATATCGAGCATAATTGCTCTCTTGAAAGCAAAAGGAGCATCCTCTGTCTCTGTGTGTACTCTCCTTGATAAACCAGCAAGGAGAAAGGTTGAAATTCAGCCAGTTGGCCGGGGGAAGTTCTACAGGGGATTTGAGGTATAGTATTCTGACAAATAATCACTTAATATCACTCAAAGTATGTATTTTCTCTGCATGCTTCATGCCTTTACCTTATTGGAAATGTGGTATTTTATGGATGAGTTTTTCATTTCCTTGTAATCAATGTAATTTTCAAGTTTTCTTCTGTAGATGTTTTTTCCTCTTCCTAGCTGATACCTTGTCAGAGTATTGAACTCTGAAATGCTCTGTATTCTCTGTTCAATCATATGTTGAGTACATGTGCGCGCATATATAATCAGTGAACCAAACTAATGAGCTAAAGCTGAACTAAGCTCATCGGCTGACACACAATCAAGGACTTGGGCTTAGGCTCAACAAACATTTATTAACCCGCTTAATGCACTATACTAGCAAAAAAAAATGCTTTGAGACCATATGTACTCTTTAAATTTGATGTTCAGATCTTGAGGTCTGATGATCCTAGTTTTTCCTGCATAATGTGTTTTTTTCTTTTTTCTTTTTTGTTTTTTGAACTGAAGGTTTTTCCTGCATACTTTGAAATTCCTAATTGTCCTATCTACTACTGAATCATTCCGTTAATTTCTCCTTTTCTGCAGTGCCCGGACTATTTTATCGTTGGGTATGGGTTGGATTTTGCCGAACTGTATAGGAACTTGCCTTATATTGGTGTCTTGAAGCCTGAACATTACAGTTGACACTATACCTCATTTGCCACGAGGTTTATGCATCAGTCTAGTGAAATTTCCACTACCTTCCCCCTCTTTGATTTAATTGGTGACAGATTTCCATTCCTTCTGTGCTTTTTCAGGAATATAGTGAAATTACACAATTTTTTTTTGGTTAACAGTGGAATTATACTATGGTCTTTGAAGTTTTAAAGGTTTTTTTTTTTTTTTTACCAAAAAGTTTTAAAGTTTCATATCTCACTATTTTTATGATGCAAGGACTTTCTGATAGATATCCTAAGTGTCAAACTTATGGTGAAGAAGGTTCAGTTTTTCACTAACAATGAGAAATTAATTTGAATTTGGTTACAATATTTACTAGGTCTAACTATCTGACTTTTGAATGATATTCAACAAACGGGCAGAACTCACTCATCGTGCCTAGTCTTAGGGATCCTTGTGTCTTAATGCTATATATGCCTAATCCCAAAGATTCTTGTGTCTCAGTGCTATAGGGGTATATTGATCTAGGTAAGGTTCCTCAACGCCTCTTTTGGGCAAACTTGGGTCACATTAGGGTCCTCAACTCTTTAAAACTTTAACCCATAGATCTTTAAGCGTAGTATATGGGCTCATATACATGTCGTTAGATTCTTTTTGGTGCATAGGTTCTTTAGAGAGGTAAGTGTAGAGCATACTTGAATCTTAATATAACAGATATAGGATATTAAATAATCAAGCTTTTAGGAGAGTAAGACTTTAGAGAAACATAATTGAAGAACACACAAGTTTTATTGCCAAACTAGTTCTGCCTTACAAAAAAATTAAAACCTCCTTAAATAGATATTGTGTGGAGGATTAGGATAGATGGTGTATGATTACAAGTAGACAAATTTTTTTCACATGCTTGATTACAAAGTAAAAGCAAAAGTAAAGTAGAACGACATGACTAAAAGCAAATTGCTTTGTCTAAAAGTCAAAAGTGACTTTTGACAAAATAATTACAAGACAAACACTTGAAAGAAGATATGACTAAAAGGAGACTTCTTCCACAATTAGCGCAAGTTTTTGTGGATGCACTTATGATTATATTACAGGTTAAGCCAACATTTTTCTTCCTTTCAGCATCTTCTAGCTGTAAGGTTATCACGCATGAGTTGGTCTAGCTGTTTATCATCAAAGTCTTGATCCATATCCTGAGTAGGTCTTGGTGCTAGTGTCTTTTAGCTTTGAGAATAGCTAATAAGTTTGGGTTTCTATCTTGTATGGGTCCTGACTGTCCGGTGGAAATGATGGAAGTGTGGACAACGATGCTCCATCATAGGATTCTATTCAGGTGGAGTATTTTGTTTGTACAACAGGGCTTGTGAACCATTCAGGAAATTCATATTGAACAGATGGAGATGGGTCACTTGGAAGAATAGGTTGATGAGAGATTGGATCGAGAGATGTGCACTCAAGATTAGATTCTGGAACTGGATAATTATTCATTTCACATAGAAAATCTTTTAATTCAATTAAAGTGGAATTTTCATGTGTCATCCAATTAGTTGTGGTTTTCCATAGGCATGCTTGGTTAGCCAAATAAAGCTTTCCTTTATTGTAAAATGATAAGGATGATGAACCATGAAAAAGGAGTAGGCCTTTTATTCCTATAGAGGGATTTTCCATAGCAACTCTTTTTAAACTACTTAAAAGAGTTCCTTATGCCATCTGGAAATAGATGCAAACCATTTAAGGAATTTTTATAGGTTTGAACCTTCATGAGCTGAGTCATATAGATAATGAAACATCTCCAGGGGAGGAACAGCTATAACATAGATATAAAGAGAGGATAAAGAGCAAATGTACCACATGAGTTCATCTGGTATATGACCTTTAATAAAAGGGACTGCAAGGTAAGGAGCTTGAAGACAAAAGTATTCAAGTTGGGGTTGGATGTGGGTCTTTTGAAGGAGGTGGAGCCAATAAAATAGACTTTTGGCTAGCTTTTGAACTTCTAAGACAGTGGCTAGATTATGTCCTGATGGAAAAACTAAATTGTTGGGTATGATGTTCAGGATAAAGAGGGTAGCTTTTTTGGAAGAGTGATGAGATTGATTTTCTTTTAGGGTTTGGTTAGATAGTCTGCCATGGTATCGTGATTTCCTTTGATGTGTCGGACTATGAATTTATAACAAACAAACCATTTTTTCCATTGAAGGAGTTGAGCTTCAAGGAGAAACTTCCTATTTTGATTTAAGATCTTTAGAAATGATATGTTATCCATTTCTACTACAAAGTGATAAAGGCTAAGAGGAAAGTTAAATTTTTCAATGTCACGTTTTACAGCTAGGATTTCTTTATAAGCTATATGGTAATGCTTTTCTGGGGGTTTGAATTCTCCATTGGCATGACCACAATAATGCCTTTTCCCATCTACTTCCAGAAGTAAAGCTCCTCAAAAGTCATCACTAGCATCGGTCTGCAAGATGTGCGGTCCTTTGTCAGGGATTTTGAGTGAAGGAGGATGTTGACAAATTTGCTTTAAGTGTTAGACAGCCTTTGTTTGGTTGGGATCCCAAGGAGGTGGATTTTTTTCTCAAGAGTTTGGATAGTTAGTAGATGTGATGAGATACTTAAGGAATAAAGTATCTGATATAATTGACTATACTCAAAAACTATTGTACTCGAGGTTTTGATAAGTTTTCATTCGAGTAAGTTTTTATCAGCTATTCCCAGAGCTAAAAGACACACCAACACTGGGACTCACTCATAATATGGATCAAGACTTTGATGATGAACAACTAGAACAACTTATGAGTGATAACCCTGCAGTTAGAAGACATCGAAAGGAAGAAAAATGTTGGCTCAACTTGTCATATGATTAGAAGTGTATCCATAAAAACTTGTGTTAATCATAAAAGGAATCTACTTTTAGTCATATCTTCTTTAAAATGTTTGTTTTGTAGTTATTTTGCGAAAAGGTTTAGACAAAATAGTTTGTTTTTAGTTATATCTTCCTACTTTTACTTTTGCTTTGCCTTTATAACTAGGCATGTGAAAAAAGTTTATTTGCTTGTAATCATGCACTGTTTGCCCTAATCCTTTACACTATGTCTATATAAGGAGGTTTCAGTTTTCTTGTAAGGCAGAATTTGTTTGGCAATGAAACTTATGTGCTCTTCAATTTTGTCTCTCTAAAGCCTTTCTCTCTCCCTTATAAGCTTGATTCTTTAATATTTAGTATTTTTCAAAGAACTAACAAGGGGGTGGGTTAGCTTCGCGCCATGACACACCCTTAGGTACCTCAGAGACACTTTTTATGCCCGTTGCCTCTTGGTAACTTCAACCCTATGGGCCCTAGCCACGGGACATCCTAGGGATAAGAGCCTGTACTTCGTCACTGCCTTATACAACAAGAACTCTCCATAGATCTAGTTGCCTCTTTAGGTGAGGACTTATAACTGTAGTGGCTCTGATACCAACGGGGTTGGCTTCGTGTCGTGACACCCTTAGGTACCTCAGAGACACTTTATGCCTATTGCCTCTCAACAACTTCAACCCTATGGGTCCTAGTTGCTAGACATTCTGGGGATAAGAGCCCGTACTTTGTCACTGCCTCATATAGTGAGAACTCCTCATATACTTAAAATGAGATTGGTCCAGTTGAAGATCTGCTATGAGATTTTCTCTCATCAAACTTGCTAAATTAAGGTGAAATGAAGATATGTTTTTCTGTCTAACAATAATCACTTACAAGGGTGGAAATGGCTCTTGATAGAAGAAAAGTTAGGAACCATTTGAACTTATCCAGAAGGATCTTTTTAACATGCATTAAAATATATGATACATTCTCAAAGTCGGCCTTCACATGTTTATGATCTATATTATTTTGATATTTGGATGTTGGCTCATGGGGAAAGCAAAGAGAGTTAACTCTTGGTTTCCATCAAAGATAACAAGAAACTGAAAGTCAATGACTTTTGAAGGATGAGAAAATTTGGGTATAAATGGGAACAGTGAAACCAAATTGTACCATTTCTTGGTTCTACTTCCTCAAAAACTAGTGACCTGCTTTAGCTTATGGATTTAAGTAGAAATTTACCTCTATGGGTTGTTTAGAGAAGCTTGATTGGTTTCTCATGATGCAGTGATAACAGCAGAAAGCAAATATTCATGTTTTTGAAAGGCTCACATATTCATAAACCCCTTTGAGTATGAACCACGTATCTTGCAGATAGAAGCCATGTAGATAATGCGATACACACGTCATTGCTGGAATCTTGATAGTTGTCCTATGGAAGGCATATTATGTAATAACATGATAGACCTTCAAAACTTGATAAGATTGAAGAGCAATGAAGAGGAGTTAAGGTTAAATTTGTCTATTTCAGTCTCATTTCAACTTGATGTGTGATTATATCCTTGAAATACTCATGGGTTCGTCATTCTTGAACATACATGTTCTCCCACTAATTTATGTGCAGCTCTTGAAGAAAGCTCGGTGTTGTAAAGCAGTTTCCTTATTTGACAAGCTCAGATAATAGTTATATACTATATGCATTGTGGGTTAACCACAGGATGACCCCTGAACTTTTGATTTTGCTCCAATGGAATCAAATATGAATTATGGATCAGTTTAGTTATTAGAAAGGAATGAAATGGATTAAAAGAAGGAAGGTAAAAATAAGATGATTAAAAGAGATAGTGAATTAAATTTATAAGAGAGATGAGTAATTTAATTTATGTTGAGAATTATAATTCATGAAAATTTTTGAAAGTTGCGATTACTCTCACTGTAATATATATTAATAAATTTTATTATATTTATTATGTGAAAAAAGGTTATTTAATTCATGTTTTATATTTATTTTTTTAATCCATTCTATTCTTTTTTAATAATCAAGTAGGGCTTACCTCTTTTTATCCTTATTCTTTTTACTTATATTGCTTGCGTTCGTCCTTTTCTCTCCCCCTTTCCTCCCTTGCTTTCCTTTTTAGAATTTTTTTTGTCTTTAATATATATATAAATATATATATATATTATAAAATATCTAATTGTTTATCATATGTAATAAATAAGTCTGACTTCTTTTTTAATATTTACAAGTAATTATTCTTATAGTGTCTTAAATAAAGTTTTTGTAATTATAATTTTTGAGGCTTTTTTCGGTAAACAATTTCTACGACTTTTATGACTGGAAAAGGTCAACTTACACACTTACATGTCACAAGACTCATTTTTCTATTTTATTATAAATCTAATCTTGTTTTTTAATTATATCATCTAAATAAATTTTAATTTATTAAATTGATTTTTAAAAAAAAGAGCATGCAAATATAAATCATGCTTTGTTAATTGATTTTTCTTTCAATTTTTGTTTGCAACCTGTAGTTTATGAACATTTTAGTCTTCGAAACATATTAAAAATGCAAGAGTGGCCACATTTTTTGCATTTGACGTTGGCCAATGCAATTTTGGGGCTATCGCAAACACGCCTTGAATTAATCAATTATTAAATATATTATACAAATTTCATTGGTCTGTCTGTATAGATATTTTAAATTAAAAAATTTCAGTTTGTTGTATCTTGAATGTTTCGTTCGCTCCTCTCACAATGTCTTTTCTTTGTAAGACATTTAAATTTATTTCTTTTCTTTAAAAACTCGTCCACATTCCTGACATAATCTTCACTTTCTGTGTTATATCTGGCATCCAAATTTATATTTTCAATTCAATGCATTAAACTACTACCTTGAAATAATATTTAATTCTTTTAAGGAAATTTACATCTAGATATTACATACGAAAATTTATTATCAAGAGATTTTATAAAATTTACAAAATATTCTTATAAGTTATAAATGATTGTTATTCAATTGTTAATATTCTTAATCAATCGGAGCTCATTTTAATGCATGTAATGCCAATTGATGCATCTTTCCTTCCACAAATGCTGCATCACAATTAACTTTGAAGAAGCCTGACGATGGTAGAGTCAAGATTCAAGGTGGCTTAGCTTGTTGCGCCTCTGAATCAACCTCTCAAAAAAAAAAAAAAAAAAAATCGCATGTCTTCCAATGTTTAGTTATAGCCCTCCTAGCAGATTCAATAACCCACTTAGATTTGGCGCTACAATTTTGAAAGCTTACCATTGCTCACCTTTCCAGTGAACCACAAAATCCAGCTACTAAGGGCAATATCATACTCATTGAAGCACCTATCACCAGAAACAGCATCTATCCACCAACTATGGAAACTTGTGATATCATTGGGTCAAATTTCAAGGAGAGCCCACACCCAAACCAAATACACCTACTCCACATACACTAGGAGAGATGCTCAATTGTCTCAACGGCACACTCAAAAAAAGGGGCAGAGATTAGAAAACCCTCTATGTCGATGAAGTAAGGTCTCATTGGTAGCAAGAGCATTAGATGATCATCGCCATAAAAATGACTAATCCTCGGAGTAGTTTTAATCTTTCACAAATTCTTCCAAATAGTTTTAGGTATGACAACAGATGAACTTGTTACAAGATTTTTTGACCCCCTCTTTCTTCACCTCCATAACCATGGCATAGCCCAACTTCATAGAATAAAGACCATTATTTGCAAGGCTCCAAAAGACCGTCACTTGAAGGAGTAGCATGTAAGGGTATAAGCTGAATGGCGATAAGTGTGGTCTCATCCAGGAACAGACTCAGTTACTCACATCTGCAAGCTTCCATTGTCTATTCTCAATTAGTGTAGCCACAACCATGTTTGAGTTGGCAAATTCTTTATCATTAGTAGCAAGACAATGGGTGGGCAAGGAGGGAATCCATTTATCTTTTAAAATCCAAGCAGTCAAACCATCCCTAATTTGCCAGCATAATTTAGGCTTCAAGAAACCTCTTCCTTCTAGTAAGCTTGACCAACACCAGAATGCATGAGAGCCTTTTTTTTCGCATCTAGGAATTGGTGGTTGGGAAAATAAATCCCCTTCAACACTTTGACCTATAAATCATCGGGGTTTTGTAACAAATGCCAAGCAGTTTTGGCTAAAAAAGTTGAATTATTATTGACTAAATCCTTGAACCTCATACTACCCTCTTTCTTAGGTTTAGTCATATTTTGCCACGTTATCCAATAAATTTTACTTCAGCAACACTCCCATCTCCCCAACAATTAAAGATCAAATTATCTAGCTTTTTACTTATCTTCATTGGAATATCAATCACATTCAAAATTTAACAATGACTTGCTTTGCTAAAATGGTGGTCTGGCCACGAGCTGACTAGTGACCAGTAGGTGAATGGAGGTATTTAAGTTATTTCACATATTTTATATGCTATTTGGAATTTTTTTTTTAACAATAAACTAAATTTAGGGGCTTACATATGACAGACTGTTTTATATAAAACCTCTTTGTAACTTTCACTAGAATTTTCCCTTTCCTTACCGTTGTCACTATCGCCAAAATATCGAGCATCTCAAGTTATCAATCGAACAATATATCAATCTTACCCAAAGAGTGGTGCTCCGACAACACTCCCATGGCGGGAGCTACAGGCAGAGCCCTTCTTACTCTCTCTCTAAACTCCAACCTCTTACCACTCGCACGCTTATCTCATGGCCACACCATTCCATTTCTCAAACTGTCAGCAAGACCCAGTAGGGTTTTGCTAGGGTTTAGGCCCCTCTGCTCTGCCACTACCACCGCCACGGCCACCGTTGCCGACACGACGGAGTCCATTGACCCCGACCAAATCAAGCATTCAATTCTTCTTGGGAGACTCAGATTCAAACACCTCAAGGATTCCGCTAAAACCCCTGAAATCAAGAATTCAACGAAGTCAGTTGCTATATCTGAGAAGGGTCGTGAGAATGAGGGGAAGAAGTCAGAGGAGAAGAAGTTGGTTGGAAGTTTTGAGGAGTTGGGCCTCAGTGATGAGGTAATGGGAGCCGTGAAGGAGATGAATATTGAGGTTCCTACTGAGATTCAGTGTATCGGTATCCCTGCTGTCTTGGAAGAGAAGAGTGTCGTTTTGGGATCTCATACTGGGTCTGGCAAGACTCTTGCTTACATGCTTCCTCTGGTTCAGGTATTTGATCACTTGCAAAATGACACTTATAATATTGGTCTTCTGCAACCATTTCTTTTATTATGAAGTTTTACAGCTTTAAGCATTGACAATCTTATCTAGTTGTATATTTAGAGAAGCTAATAAACAATATTAATTTGTTCATATAGTTGCTTAGACGGGATGAACAATTGAATGGATTGCATATGAAGCCCAGGCGTCCCCGAGCTGTTGTGCTATGCCCTACGAGGGAGTTGTCTGAGCAGGTATTTGTGAAATGCATTCATCATGCAGAGATCACTTAGAACTTTCTTATTACACAGCTAAATTACTGTATGATTGGATATATAGGTATTTCGAGTTGCAAAATCTATTAGCCATCATGCAAGGTTTAGGTCTACAATGGTAAGTGGGGGTGGCCTTATCAGGCCTCAGGAGGATTCATTAAATAACCCCATTGACATGGTTGTTGGTACTCCGGGCAGAATTTTGCAGCACATTGAGGAAGGCAACATGGTATATGGTGACATCAAATACTTGGTAGGTTTCCAACCGTAGGATGTTCTTCTTCTCGAATATACTGTTATTCAATTGCTCTACATTTTTTAATCTTCTGTATTTCTAATAAGTATTCTTTGGAAAAATATCTTCTCAGTATTTATCTTTGCAAGGAAGTTGTTGCACTTATTAATGGTGGATTTCTTTTGCAGGTGTTGGATGAGGCAGACACGATGTTTGATCGAGGTTTTGGTCCTGATATACGCAAGTTTATAGGCCCACTAAAACATCGCACATCAAAACCTGATGGCCTGGGTTTTCAGACTATTTTGGTTACAGCAACCATGACAAAGGTATGCTATATTGCAATATTGCATTGCCATTTTTGATGTATTTTGGAGAGTTCCACTATACCTTAATAAAAGTGAATTTATTCAGTATCACTATTGATAGATATGCTTAACAATTGACATTTGTAAGTATTGCAGGCAGTGCAGAAGTTGATCGATGAGGAGTTTCAAGGCATTGTGCACCTGCGAACATCAACGCTGCATAAAAAGATTGCCTCTGCACGTCATGATTTTATTAAGTTGTCAGGTTCTGAGAACAAGCTGGAGGTATTACTGCAGGTATACTTTATACTTTTACTTTTTGAGTGCCATCCATTGGTATTGTACCTGAGACCAAGTGGGTGGTTTCTGTGGCTTTTAGAGAGATATAGACATATAGGGGATTTTTGTGACAAAAATGCTGTTTCTGTCTGTTTCTCTTCTTAGGCTTTGTTTATATGCTACTTTGCTTTCGCTATTATGGTTTTGAAAAGGAAAACTACACATATGCTACATTAGTGCATTTTCATTGATATTAAGATTTAATTATGACTTACATCCCAGAAGGCCAGAACCAAAGAAAAAAAAAACTTCTAAAACAGATGGGGAAATAGTGCCTTTTTGGTGCATATCCTGTGAAACTATTTGACTTTGAAGGGATGACCTTAAATCAATAGTGTGAGATGCTCCGTTGTTTTAACAAGTTGTGGCATATTTGGAAATTTCAATTTTCATGTTTTTTTAATTGCAGATAATTGCAAGTTTTGTTTGACCAATCCTTCACTTTTCTGTGAATGATATTTCTCATTACTTGGTGTTCACTCCTATTATAGGACATTCTGTGCCAAAGTCATCCCAGTAATGCAGAAAGTGATGTTGCCTAAGGTGGATGGTAATTAATGGGCATGATGTTTAGTGACTAAATTGTGTGATAACTGATGAGGAATATGCCAACCAATCCTTATATAACTACAAATGATACCACTTTAGTGTTTTTTTGCCCCCCTTCCCTTCTTCCAACCCTGTCCAACACATTGTTTTATTCTTATGCATGCTTTGTCATGATGCCTGCTGTTCATATTCTCTGTTACTTCTTGATAAGATTATCTAATGGTTTGGACAATTTTTTAATTCTTTGGGTATTTACCATTTGTTGCTTGGTCATGTGAGGATAGGTTCTGGAGCCGAGCCTTGCAAAAGGGAATAGAGTGATGGTTTTCTGCAATACACTGGATTCTAGCCGTGCAGTGGATCATTTTCTTGGTGAAAATCAGATATCTACTGTTAATTACCATGGAGAGGTACCAGCAGAGCGAAGGTTGGTGCTAATTTCATATTATTTATCTTTTTATGCTCTCCATTCTCTATTATGTTGCTCTCTGTTTGGAAGTCACACTGTCCAAGTGCTTAGATGAGTAATGGCAACCTTTGGAAAATAGCCACATTGTTGATGGATATATCTGTCTTCCAGTTCTTTTATGTTCATTATATTGTTACTTGTGCCAATTGACCAATTTCTAGTTTGTGTTACTCTTTAATAATTTGCTCCATTAATCTTGAATAGGTAAAAGCATACCATTAAGTTCAGGACCTGATGTGTGTGTGCGTGCCTGTAATAATCTTGACATTAAAAAAATCACCTTGTTTTGTGACTTCAGGACTCATGTCAGTGTTGATGTTACACGTCTTGTTTGCTCAGAAGAGTTAATAGGTTTTCACACAAAAGTAAAATATTTGAATGTACACAAAGGTCTGACCAAAGAAAAATGATTTGCACAGAGGGAAATGTTTATTATGCACTATAGGTTAGGTTACATCACATGGGAAGTTCGAACACAAATTGCATGGGGACCTTGTTAGATTGAGATTCCAGTGTCTTATCATCTTATATACTTTGTTGCCTGTTTGGTATGCATCATATAGTTCCTTTATTTAAAACTCAGGGTTGAAAACCTCAAGAAGTTTAAGAGTGATGAAGATGATTGCCCTACATTAGTTTGCACAGACTTGGCTGCTAGGGGTCTGGATTTGGATGTCGATCATGTTATCATGTTTGATTTTCCTTTGACCTCTGTAAGTATCATTTGGGTTACCAAGATTTTCTTTTTGTTTCACTCCCCCTCCCTAACCCTCTTCTTTTTCTCTTTCCTTTATCAATTCTGCACCAGTTACACAGCATTTCTCTTCATTCTATTTCAGATTGATTACCTTCACCGCACTGGTAGAACAGCTCGCATGGGTGCAAAGGGTAACATTTTTTTTTTATCATGCTTTTTAATTTTTATCTGTTTTAAGAATTCCCTTTAATTTAGTTATATCTACAGTCTAAAATAAGTCGAAATTTATAAGAGCGGTAAACAATGGTTTTGCATATCCACTTTGTCTGAATGATCTGGGTATTCTTTTACTGTGAAATTAGTTTTAAACTTGTTAGTACAGCATGAATTATTGTGTTCTCATTACAGTTACAGATATTCTGGATAACATGTTTTTGTACCAATATTGTCAAGCAAAGGCCATGCTGCTTCCTATTTAAGCTTTCAAATGTCCATTAAATCTGGCTTTTTTTAATGGATAATTCTATTTCTTTTGTGGAGTTCCAAATTTACATTTGCATGAGGAAGCCACAGATTTTTCATTAAATTTATATATAAACTAGCTTCCTACAAAATTTATATAATGATTGATTAGATTGTGAGCCACTTGTAGACTTTATATTGTACATAATTATCGAAGGTTTTTTTTTTTTTTTCCTTTTTATGGGTTAAATCAAATATCTTCTCCTCTGTGCAGGGAAAGTAACTAGCTTGGTTGCAAAAAAAGACGTAACCCTGGCCACTAGAATAGAAGAAGCAATAAGGAAAAATGAGAGCTTGGAGGCTATCAGTAAAGAAAGTCTCAGGAGGGAGATTGCCAGTACCCAAATAACTCGGCAGAAGGGGAAGAATACAAAATTGGTAAAGGTTTCCAAAGCAAAGAACACTTCTACTCCCCGTGCTGCCATGTCTCGGAAAGTATCGAAGAAGCCATCAGTATCCAAAGCATCAAAAAGTTCTTCTGGTGTTAATACTGTTTCTAGAAAAACATCCAAGCCATTAAAACCAGGGAAGTCAGGAGGAGGAATTAAGGTTAAAAGTTCTGTAAGGTCTTCCAGTGCAAGTAGCCTGAAAAAGTTTCAGCGAGGAAGGCACAAACAAGTAAAAGAGATAGTGCTGGAAAATCCTCAAATTCTAAGCTGAGTGTTGTTGGTTTTAGGGGACGGAGTTCCTCAAACAAGAAGGAATCACAATTTTGAATTAGCATTTGATTCTATTTTGTATAAAACTATCAGGTAGCTTGTTAATGCCCATCTATTATTTTGCATGCGGTTTTTTTTTTTTTTTGGTAGTAAGAATGCTACAATTACAATTTCCCCCCTGACAAATGCAAGTCTATTGTCCAAAGGATAAAAGATTTAACATAAATGACATGAATATAGGGTGATACAATTACTATAATACAAATGAGACCTCTCTATTTGTTGGAAGAAAAATTACCCAATAGTCAACAAACATTGTGACTCAACTGAGCTTATCTTCATCATAACGAGCACTTGTGGAACCATCCCTTTGTCAATCATACCAGGAATATCAAGGATCTTATTACGTACATTGGCATTGTTAAATCCACCATATTTTTAGAGAAGCCAATACCATTGGAAGATAAAAGAAAGTACTATATATAAAGATTAGAAGATAAATTATAAATATATAAGTTTAGAAAGTATCTAATTAAATGACTTAAGCTATTTTGATGGAGTATACTATCCTTAAGTACAATTAATATAATAATTCTAACATGATGTCAAACTCATTAGATTGGGGATAAAAAAAAAGGGAAAAAAAAGGAAAAAATGAAAGATAAAAAAAAACAAGAAATTAAAAAAAAGAAAGAGAAAAGAAGAAGTAGAAGAAATTGAATAGATTTGGTGCCTCTAAGACTTAAAATAAAAGTACAAGCCTAAGTAAAAAGAAAAAAAAAAGAAAAGGGAGAAAAAAAAAAGCAATAGAGGAAATATTAGAAGATAAAAAAAAATTCCACATCTAGATATTAGAAGATAAATCATAAATATATAAGTTTATAAAGTATTTAACAAAATGACTTAAACTATTTTAGTAGAGTATACTATCTTTAAACACACTTAATATAAAAATTCTAACAAATACTTATATAGATTGGATGGTTATCAAGTTAACCATAGAAATTTCAATGTCACTGTTCATAAAGATCCACCTCCGAGGTTCAAGGACTTGGTGCTATCACATGTGACCTAGTTCTATTTTATTTGCACAGATTTTTTGTGACCTTTGTAATAATTTAAAAAAAAAAAACTAGAGTGAGTCATGTGAATTTTATCTTAATTAAATTTTATACTAATGCTAATAACTTGAATATAGCATATATGGAGATACAAACTCCTTTGATGTTTCTCGCATCGCTCTTCTGATTGAACTCATCTGATTTGATTCATATGGGTCAAATTCATCCTAGGGTTTATTTTCCCTCTTGTTCTTCTGCCGTTCAAATCTCACCTGGTTCTCTTCTGCCTCTGCGCCACAGTACTATACTATAGTATAGAAATCCTAGTCATGACATGAAGCTAGGATAATAACCTTTTATTATAGTGCACCATACATCTGTGACCCATTTGGCACACAAAATCACATGGGAATATAAAAACAGTTTTTTTTTTTTTTTTGTATTCTCAAACATAAATAATATTAAATGATACCATTACTAAGTACGATTAATATTGAATACAAATTCTTTCTCCTTTCTCTTGCAGTAATCAAGCCACCTAAAATAAAATATGACACAACAATTGAAATGCAGATGAAAATTATCTCATCATTTTGGGAGAACGACTGATAGGTCCCAAAAGAATAAGTTAATTTAAATTAAGTCCTAAATGTCAAATTTTAAATATTTGCAAGTTCATCTTTCAATTTTATAATTTTTATAATGAATTTGCAACTTGTTTTTTAAATTTTATTGTGATTAAACAATAAAAAATTTTATTTTTCTTATTAAAATTTGAAACACAAGTTGCAAAATCATTATAATCAAAATTATAAAATTAAAAGTTAAATTTGTAAATTTAATTTTGACACTTAAAACCTAACTTAAATTAAAGACCTCCGAACATTCTCCCTATCAAATTTCTAATGCTCTCTCACTTAATTCTTCTATCTCTATTTCACCTTTTTCTAGTAGCAGTTTTTGTGGTTGCATGCTTATTTCCATGTAAGTAACAAAGGACGAGGAGTTTTGGATGAAGTGACAATATTGCCCTCGGAATCATAGATAATGACACCAGAGAAATCAGGAAGTTGACACTTGCCACCCATCAGAATGTTCTTCTGCCAAATGGAAGCCTCCTCATGCTGCTCTGATGATGTCACAGTGACATCAACTCTTTCATTCTGAATGATCTCTATCACTGGCTCTGGATCTTCTCCGAAGAACCAGCTGCTCCAGCTCTGACGACGTCGTTTCACGGAATGAGAGGCACACATAAGCAACGCAAAGGCACAAAGCAAAAGAGTCGTCACTGCAAAACCAATCTGTGAAGAAGAAGAAGAAGAAGAAGAAGTGGTGTGTAGAAGAAGGTGATTCAATGGAAGTGAGCGAGCCATAAAAGATGGTGTTAGTGAGATGATATGCGACTGTGAAACATATAGGAGCCAGGTAGTGAGTATTTATACAATACATTGTGATGTTTAATGATTTGGTATTCTCTCATGGCTTTGGTGGTGGTGTTTACGTTTCGGAGGATTTGTTGAACTTAAGGTCTTGGCGGATTTAGCTAAAGCTTGGACTTATGTGGTTGTTAGTTTTGGTATTCTTTGACTTTGACTTTCTCCCCTTCTCTTCTATGATAATAAAATTGTTGGTTCTTGACCCTCTGCTTTTTTCTTAATAAAAAAGGAAAATATATTAACGACAGAAAATTAAAATGAAATCCACAAAGAAAGCATTAAAATAGGCCACAAAATAATTAGCAAAAGTAGGAAAAGATAAGATATTGGAACCACATTTTTAAAGAGTATAGTTGATGAAATTCTATAGAAGCTTTGAAATATCTTAGTTTATGAAATGTTGTTGACTAAAACAAAAGCAAATCTTCTTGCTATGTTTAATCTTCAAATTCCCTAAACTTGCTTGATCTTCAAAATGATTCAAAGAGAAGTTTTTAATGTAGATTAAGAGGCTATGAACACAAAAAGTCAAGAAGAAATGTGGGAAGATAGTTTCAGATTTGTAGAAAATCAATTTGATTCATCTCTCATAGTTGCAAGATAAAGATAGAGCACAACAAGTTTTTTTTTTTTTTTTACTTCTCTTAAAGATAGTAAATTAAATTTGGGTCGCCAAAAGAAAGTGAAGATTTTCTATAACCTTAAAGTTTGTAACTTTTTTTGTATTGTACCTGTTATTAACCTTAAAGTTTGTAACTTTTCTTGTATTGTACCTGTTATTCTATCTTCATGCACTTTATAAAAAAGAAATATTGTTCTCTCTTCTCTTTGATGGTGGGAGAAAAACGTACTTTTCATTTAAAAAAATCATGAATATGCTAATATATAAGATTGACATAATCTATCATCTTCTATTTATTGTTTTATTTACAATGTACTGATATTTGATACTAATATAAGATTTATATATAAATCATTTTTAACTATTTTACCAAAATCAAACGGCGGTAGTTAAATTATTGGTTGGTTTTGAAAAATAAAGTTTACCTTCATCCTTTATTCATAAAAAATTGTGAAAGGGTAAATTAAAAAAATGATTAATATTTTTATGTAAAATAACATATAAAAATGATGTATTAATTCATTTTAGAAGATGCTTTATGTATAGGATTGGAAGAAGTACTTATTATTTTTAAAACTCATTTTTTTAAATAACTTTAGGATTTTGGGTCTCACATGAAATTTAAAAAAAAAAATCATGTCAAAATTTACCGATCGTCTTTGATTGAAATAATTTAGCAACTTTTGACTTTTAATGTAAAAAAAAAAAAAATTAAAATGTAAACAGGGTTTGGAAGCACCAAGTGTTCATTTATTTAATAATAAGATTTGAATTTGAATATTTTAAAATTAAACTTGATTTGACCAAATTTAATATTTTATATCTCCCAGTTTCTGGGCTTCGGTCCTGTTTGATCAGAAAATATCAAAACCCTCGCTGGGGGTTAAGCTGAACAGAAGGTCACTCACGCCTCAATTGTTCCTCTTTCTCTGCGAAGTGCGAAAGCAGAAATCACGAAAATGAATCGAAGCGCCAAAGTTATCTCTTTAAAGATTTCTACCGATACACTTTTCGTCACTATCCAAAACCCACTATATCTTCCACACATTTACCTTCAGAAATTCTGTCATTATCTTCTTCTCACCGACCTTCATCTCCAGAATCATCGATTCCCACCACACACACATCAAATTTTCCCTCTTTCTCGATCATTCCTCTATCATATTTCATGACTCTGCAGCATGATCTGAGGAGCTACAGTTCCGGATCGGGTAGTTCGGGCACCGAGTTGGACAAGGATAGGGAGGTTGACATGATTAATATCAAGTTTGCAGAAGCAAGGGAAGAAATAGAGGCGGCGTTGGAGTCAAAAGAGACCGTGTATTTTGACGAAGAGGCAGAGTGCGCTCGTGCTGCTGTCACTGAAGTATTGGAAATGTTTGAAGGATTATTGAATAAGTTGCCAGAAAGCGAGAAGGCATCTCTACAGAGGTCAATGGGTTTGAAGATTGAGCAATTAAAAGCTGAACTTAAGCAGTTGGATGAGTAAGAGATGGTTTTTCCCCCTCTCTCACTCTTGATCTAAATTTGTTTCTTGATGAGTTACTGAGCGATATGTTTCAACATTATAATAACAGAATTCTTTGTGCTGTTAAATTGAATGTAACTTTGAATCAAATGTATTGGCTGCGTGGCCATTCCTTGATATTGACGCCGTCAATCCTTAGACGTAGTTTATCAAATGCTGCTATTTTTTCTTGTGTCATTTGGTTTGATCTTACTTTTTGCTGGCGGATCAGTATCCCATCATCCGCACTTACAGTTCGACAATTTGGTTTTACTGTTTTGATGGTTGGTAAGTTGTTACTTTGCAAGAGCTTTTAGTTCATGTATTCATTGCTAGTAGATCTTACACATTCGTGGCATTTGAGTTTTATATATTTAATGGGGTTGGTCTTCAAATGAATAAATTGATTAAATATTGCAAGATGAGATTCTGGGACGCTTGATTTTTGCCACTAACTAAGCAGGTTAGCAACCTAGTTAAGTTGATTTTTGTATCATTTAGAATGCAAGAAGGCTTATGTATGTTTCCTCTCACACAGTTTTAGCTCTGAGGCCACCAAGCTAGTTTTCCTGCTTTTCATTCTACTAGAATGAACAACTTACCCAACATAGGAGTGGCTTCCACGTATCAGAAGTATAAGCATTTAAAGTTGAGTGTCTTGTGCAAGTTAACAAATTAAGCTTTGCTAATTTCTTGAAGCAACCTTATAAAATTGCTGGTGCTTTTTAAGGGACGTTTTCAGATACGCATTAGGATATGCTTGTGGACAGCACTTTGTGCCTTTCTTCTGTTTTCTAACACCAAAATATGCTTAAACTTATTGGCAAAATTTCAGTTTATATTGTTGAAATGTTTTGCTTGTTCTAACTGATGGATTACATTTTGAAGAGTTTTCAGATTAAGAAGTTTCATTTCCAAGCTTATTTTAAAATATTGGTAAAGTTTCATTCTATTAATGTCGTAAGGAATTAAACCTTTTCAAGCTCTCGCATGAGGTTGTTCATTGTCGCTTCTGATTTATGGTGTAGCTGATGACATATTTGTATTGCATATGGTATTTGAGCAGAAACATTTTATCATTTGCTAAATTTACACAGCAAGTAACACATTCTTTTAAGAAAAAGCCAAGTTATTTTGTGTCTTCAGTCTCCAGGGCCTATTCATCCCAATAGGCTTTGTTAGGTGAAAGCCCATGCCCTTTGGCCAAATTCATTCTTCACATAAGAGCTCGTTGGATTTGAAGCATGGATAAAGTACAAGCCATATGCATCAATTTAAATAGGAGAATGAAGCAGCAATGATCAATTTCATGAGTCCTAACATTTGATTATAGAGGCTGTGATGTGAAAGGCAGTACTGCTCACAGGTTTTAAACTCTTAATAGAAAACCCATAATTGGTTTTATTTTTGTTTTAAACTTCTTCATTACCTCTAGAAATTTGATTCTTTTCTTCAGCAAGATATAATGACAGACCTAAAGAGGTGTGACTAAAATGAAATCTAAATCATTGATCATATAACTTTGGACTTAGGCCATTCCTAACCATGTTAACTCAGCTGCTGCCATAGTTTTTACAATTCATGAATCTGACTAATTATTTGAGTTGAAATTATTGATCAATGCTGACATGGATGTGAGCTATTAGCTATGTTTCTCTGTAGTAAGGGGTGTGTAAGATTTGGAAGATTAGAAATTACGAATTCATTCTTAGGGGTATAATGGACCAGGATGGCCTTTTCTTTCTTTCTTTCTTTTTTTTTTTTTTTTTGTGGAAAGATGGTGTGGCAATATTTGACGTGCGACTCTCGTAGAATGAAGGAAGCATAAATCAAGTAGCACGGTGAATTTTCGACTTTACTAATAGGAAGATCTTTTCGTGTGTCACTGCCTTTAAAGGTGCTAGTATGTGTTAGTTGTTACTGACAAGTGAGTTGTTGTCAAGCAAGAGACTCGTCTCGTCACTTTTCTAAATGAGCATGTGTCTGGTTATGACCATATGATGCTAAGCACGTAGTTTATGATTTCTGAATAGTCAAGGTGAAAAATACTTCATTCATGAACACCGGGTGAGAAGTGGAGATGTGCAATGTATATGGGCCAAGTGCGTGTTTTGAAAGATTATACAATTCCCACTTGTCCACTTTTCTCCATTTCTCCCACTGTAGGAGAATGAAGCTTAACTTTCCTGATAGTCTGGTCTATTTTGTTACATTTGTACTTTGCTTAAGTCCATACCCCACATGTCAGTTTGGAAGGGAAATCAGATAATGGTTTCTCGTGCGGTGGGTCAGTGGTGACTAGTTTCTACTTATTAAGTTCCAAGCATGTCTACAGGTCTTTCATTGTCAGTGAATAAAAACAAGAGATGTTTCCTCTCTTCACATTTTGCAGGATTGTTCCCACATTATCCAAATGGATAAGAAAGGAAAAGAAAACACTTCATTTTGAAATATCTTCTACTCTAGTCTTACCTAATATTTTGCTGTATTTGTTTGCTGGTGGTACTTTCCCTTCATTGTTATTAAGAACTTTTTTTTTTTGGGTGTTGAACTTGGGACCTGTAAGTTAAATCTTTAAGAATTTACCATGAAGATTAAATTTGTTGTTATTAAGAACAGTTTTCAATGGTCTGAACAGGGAGGAATAAACGACTAATAGTAGCTTATTGTGCAAGATACGGCTTGTAAGTCATTTAGGTATTCAAGAGATTGATTCTTTCTTTCTAGGCTTTTTTTTTTTTTTTTTGGTGGCTTTTACATTCCTCAATCTCTTGGGTACCGTGGTGCCAAGGTAATGAGATTTCCATATTTGGTCTAACAATTAATAGTCCTTCTAACAATTAATAGTCCTTAAGAAAAGGAAACTACTGATTTTTCATAGAATGTAATGAAAGTTAAAGCTTTAGGGAATTGAGATTCTCAGAGGGAACTTGACAAGCTTAATCCTACGTCATTGAATGAAAATGAAAAGAATTCTAATGTAGGGGAGTGTCATGGAAAGTTCTGAAGAAAAAGAAACAAAAGACCTCAGAGGTGAGTTTCTCTCCACGGCATTTTTCTTCCACTGCTCCTTCGTTGCAAATCTAAACTGTTCAATTAAATTTATACGTTTAAAAATTATTAAATTCAATTTAACAGTCCAAAATCTACAGTGTTTTCTCACTGTAGAAGTCCTAAAGAAGGAAAGTCAACTCCAAAGACATCTGCAAAATGGAGAAAATAACAGATCTCCAAATAGGCTTGAGTCTATCCCGCCCAGAATTTTCTTGCCTTCCCCACTCTTGGCACGGGCTTAACATCCTAGAGTATTTTAGTATTATGATATAAAGCTTCTTGACTATTGGGGAACCAAATGCAAGCATCTTTTAAAAGGCGAAAATAATGGATGAAGATGACATTATATCAACTATTTCCTTGAGTTTCTGGCTTCTGCTAATAAGATCGTAGAATCCTTTACTTCTGGCATTACTCCAATTCTGCGTTAGAGCCCTACTTGTTAATGGAAAGATGCCTACTGGAAAGCTTATGACCATTAGAAGTTTTGTCCTATGCATAAGAAACCCAACGAATTGAGCAGTGAAATCTTCTATTAAATGGTATCTTCACTTCTTCCCAAAACATTATCAAATATAAAATTAGAGTATAGCATAATTTTTTAAGAATGAAAATCTTTTGTGTACTATCTCCACCTATTTTTATTTGTCATCCAGTCTGTGTTTTCTAAGTACCATCAACTACTGATTTCTTAAGATTAAGTAGTAACATTTCATCAACTTCAAGTGCTTGGCAGAAATTCTGATTGTGATTATCAGAATCATTTTGAATATAAAAATTATATAGATTTGTCTCCTCTTGCCAAACTCAACCTTCATCTTAATACAAGTCTAATCTTATTAGACGAGGTTGAATACATGGATTACATGACACCATTATGCTTTATTAATAATAGAATCTCTGGAAATATTGTTAACTTAAAAGATCCTTTTTCAGTTATCCCTTATCACGCGACTCAGAAACTTCATCTTAATATCACTGTCAATCTTAATCGTCATTTCCCAACTTATCTTATGAATTAGCATTCCCCATTGTTAGATTACCGATAGTCACTTATTCTGAAGCAATTTTTTTTTTTTTTGAACTGATATATGGGTTTATGGAATATCTGTTGGACTCTCATATGCATGATGCTGTTCTGTATTGACATGACCATGAAAATAACTGTTAAGGACCAGAACCATGCTAGCACAGGCAAGAAAGGAAGATTGAAGGAGATAGGACATACTGATGAACATGCAGACCCTCCTGTTTGACTTAGATTGGAGAGTAATCCAAAAAATGATATATACTGTCTCAGAAGGATATGGGAGGGAAAATATGGCTGGTTTTCCTGTGTCTCTTAATACACTGAAATTCTGGGCCCACATAAAATGGAGTCATGCATGTTTGGCTAAAATGGAGTCATGCATGTTTGGCCCTTTGGTTACTTCCTTCCTTCATATACAATGTTTTTGAAAGATAGTGGCTCATTTGTCTGCTTAAAAGCATTATTGGTTCTGTACACCCCGAAAAAAAAAAAAAAGCATTATTGGTTCTCAATCAATTATTACTCATTGAAACTACTTGGCTTTGAATATTCTGTTTACTTGACCCACGACTTTCGACTCTGTCGTTTTCTCTTCGCACTTTCCTCTGAAAAAGTCCCCTTTTTTTTTTTTTTGTGTGCTTGGGAAGGAAAGGAGAGAGACTATCCGGGTTTAGATGGACTAGTTACCGAATTAAGTTGACTGAAATAATTAATTTAAAATAAATACAGAAACATGTCATAAGTATGAAATACTTTGAACAATATTTGGTGTATTTAAAATTCATGTAAAGTGTCTTCCCGTGCTTCATTTGAGTTGTGACTTTATTATCAATTTGTTGTTTCCAATGTTTTTCTTTCTTCACTTAGTAACAAAATAAAATTGACTTTGTCTTTGTGCCATTGTGATTCTTTGTAAAGTAGTAAAAATGATATATATATATATATATATATTGAATTGAGTGTACAAATTTTTAATGAATTTTGTTAAGAGTTCTTAAAATAACAAGTTATATTACATTATAATTTAATTTTAGACCTTCTGAATAAAAATATTAAATCTAGTGGGAAAAAGCTAGTTTTTTATTATGTGACTAATTAATGTTCAAGTTTT